AATAAATAAATAAATAAGTTGTTGTTGTTGTTATGTGCCGTCGAGTCGTTTGTGACTCATAGCGACCCTATGTACAACAGCCCTAAACCCTGCTCTAGCCTGTACCAATCGCATTGCCTCTGACACACCCATCCCGATTACCTCAGTCACTGAATCAATAAGAAGTGAGAAAATAAAGCATGGTAAGGGTGTAAAAGTTATTTGTGAGGTATGATTAGGGAATAGTAGGTCTTGTGTCACAATGTTGAAAGATGCTATGGGCAATGTATTGAATGACCCAGAAAGCATCAAAAGAAGATAGAGGGAATACACAGAGTCACTGTATCAGAAAGAATTGACACTAAAAGTACAGGAGCCAATGGTAATGTAAGAGGAAATGGAAGCTGCATTGAAGGCATTGGCAAAAAATAAGGCCCCAGGAATCGATGGGATACCAATTGACTTGTTTCAGTTAATAAATGTAGCCTTAGATGTACTCACCAGCCTATGTCAGGATATTTGGAGGATGACTGTCTGGCCAACAGACTGGAAGAAGTCCATATTTGTTCCTATTCCCAAGAAGAGTGATCCAACTAAATGTGGAAATTATCAAACAATATCATTGATATCACATGCTAGCAAAATACTCCTGAAGATCATTCAAAAATGGCTGGAGCTGTACATAGATAGGGAATTGCTAGAAATTCAAGTGGGATTTAGAAGAGGCCATAGCACAAGGGATATCACTGCTGATGTCAGATGGATCCTGGCTCAAAGTAAGTAATACCAGAAGAATATCTCTTTGTGCTTTATTGACTATGTAAAGGCATTTGACTGTGTGGATCATGACAGGTTGTGGCTAACACTGAGAATTCTGCTGGGAATCCCAAAGCACTGGATTGTGCTCATCCGGAACCTATATCTGGAATAGGAGGCTGTTGTGTGAACTGAGCAGGGGAGCACTGCATCTTTTCGAATTGGGAATAGAGTGTGTTGGGGATGTATTCTATCTCCATACATTTTCAATCTGTATGCTGAGCAAATTATCTGAGAAGCTGGACTCTGTGAAGAGGAATGTGGCATCAGGATTGGAGGGAGACTCATCAATAACCTGCATTATGCAGATGACACAATTTTCCTTGCTGAAAGTGAGGAGGATTTGAAGCACTTGTTGCAGAAGATCAAAGAATGCAGACTTCAGTATGGATTGTGTCTCAATGCCAAGAAAACAAAGATTCTTTGGTTCAATAGGCAGTGTCATGATGTATGGAGAGGAGATTGAAACTGTCAATAGTTTCATCTAACTTGGATCCACAGTTAACACCCTTGGTACGAGCAGTCAGGAAATAAGGAGATACTTTACAATGGGAAAAATCTGCAGTAAGGTACATTTCCAAATTATTGAGAAGTAGTGATGTCAGTTTGAGGACTAAAGTTGATTTTGGCCATGGTCTTTCCAGTTGCTAGTTATGCATCCAAGACTTGGACAATGAATAAGGATGACAGAAAAAGAATTGATGCCTTTGAGCTGTGGTGTTGGAGAAGAGCACTGAACATTCCATGGATGGCCAAGAAAATGAATAGATGTGTCTTGGAGAGAGTGCATCCAGAAAGTTCTTTGGAGGCAAGAATTATGAGGGTTTGCCTACTATACTTTGTACATATTGCTAGGAGGTGCTATTCCTTTGGAGAGGCACATGATGTTGGGAAGGGTGGAGGTTTGGCAAAGAAGGAGAAGACCCTCCACCAGGTGGATTGACAAGGTGATTGCTTCAATGGGCTCTTGTGTGTCAGGAAGTGTGAAGATGGCGCAGGACAAGACTAGGTTCAGATCTTTTATTCTTAGGGTCACTATGAGTTGTACTGTACTTGATGACACTTAACAACAACAACAGTGGTCAGCAGATTCAGGGACCTAAAGGAGTCAGCCATGCAAAAATTTATGGGAAGAATGTTGTAGACAGAGGGAACAACTAGAGGAAATAGATAGAAGACCTGAATTTTCTTCCCTATCACTTTTGCTTTTAGGTCTTAAAAAGAGGTTTCCTAGAACTATAAAGTTACTTTATTAGAGATGGAGGAAAGGAAGCAAATGAAAATGAAAAAGAAAAAGAAAATAAAGAATTTGCAAAAAAGTTCATGACTTGGATAAATCTAGAGGACATTGTATTGAAGAAGTCAATCATAAAGGGACAAATGTTGTAAAAGACCACTATTATAGAAAGGGGAAGACAAAGCAAAATATTATAACAACATTTACAAAGACTTAAAGTTAGAGATTACACTCACCATTTCTCAACCTTGAAAGAAATTAAGCACAAGTTCAAGCTTCGAGGTACAATACTGAAGGATTCTGTAGGCAAAATCTTTGAATAATGAAGGAAGTATCAAAAGAAGATGGAATGTACCAAAAAGAATTGGTGAACACTAAAACATTTCTGGGAGTAGCTTATGATCAAGAACCAGTGCTAATGAAAGTAGAAATTCAAGCTGCACCGAAGCATTGGCATAAAACAAGGCCCCAGAACTTGATCGAATATCAATTTCTAGAGTCAGCCCTGAATGTGCTCACTAGTCTATGCCAAGAAATTTGGCAGGTAGTTGCCTGGCTAACTGGAAGAGATCTAGATTTGTTCCCATTACAAAAAAGGATGATTCAACAGAATATGAAAGTTATTGAACGGTATCATTAATGTCACATGCAAGTAAAACCTTAATGAAGATTATTGAAAGACAGCTAGAAGATAAACAGAAAGCTACCAGAAATTCAGGCTGTATTCAGAAAAGGCCGTGCCTCCAGGGATTTCATTGTTGAAATCAAATGGATTCTAGCTGAAACCAGAGAACAACAAAAAGATGTTTGCCTGTGTTTTATTGGCTGTGCAAAGGATCTGACTGGATGGATTGTAACAAATTATGGACAACATTGCAAAGAATGGGACTCCCAGAA